AAAATCTGCCTAGTTTCATTGTACAGTGAATTATTTAAAATGTTATTACCAGTAGACTCAGTAATTCATTCAAAATAGTTAAGTATGACAAGATATTAGGAAGGAAGGGTACCGACACTGAACACTGCTGCCAGTTATGGAGAAAAGACAGAATGATTATAGCCATATTTACAACAGATCTTATATGAAATTAGAGAATATTTTCATTTACAATAACCAGAAGTCCTATTTCTATTTAATTTCTTGTTTTTTAATGGTATAAATGCCAACTAAATCATTAAAAGAAATGTCAGCTCTATCAGTGGCAGCTGCTCTTACTACAAAAAAAGGAGGGGAAGTGTAAGAGCAGGGCAGGCAGCAAACCCCACAGCGGTCTGCAAAGTCACTAGTGGGAAAACAACAAAGCCCTTTCCATGCAACTAACACAGATGTGCCCATAGCCAAACTGTCAGAAACAGTTAAGATGACAGCTACTCACAGTTCATTATTTCTTTCTCACAGGTCACTGGGTGACAAGCTGGGTCACCATGCTTTGTCGGCTGCTACAGTCTTCCCCACCCCCCCCCAGTTCTTATTCCATTTAAATAAAGGTAAACCACTCAATTTGGTATATTAACGTAAACATACTTTCAAATGCTTTCTGAAAATGGGAATGTAATGTTTATTATAGCCTCCTTTCATTTTCAGAGGGTTATATAACATTTCCTCTCTGCGATGAGCAGAGAACTGGATTTGTATCTGTGGCAGATACAGCTATTAGAATAATTTTGTCAAGATGTGACTAAAGCAGATAATGAAAGCTAATTTGTCACCAATTCAAAGCTTTAACCTTTGGAACACTTACATGGCAGATAGATCATGAAAAACCCTTGCAACTCAGTGAAAAGATGTTTTTCTCATAGACGAGTTTTCACAAATAGAAATCTGGGGGGATACTTAACAGATTTTTAAATGCAGAAAATACAGTCTAAAGCATTGGGGAGTTTTGTGGAACATGTATAAATAGATTTTTAAAATGATCCAGTCCTGAATTAATATTTTTAATACATTCTCATCTGTCTTCATGGAGTAATCAATTTACAATACAGATGTAGATTAAGACTTTTACCTATGTTTTGTCCACTTGGAATTCAAAATAGTGTATAAAGAATCAAGGTCAAACATTTGCTTAGCTGTTACAAACAATTGTACCAATTCATAGCTGTGCCACTGATGGAATTGGGAGAACATTTCCATCTCCTTAGGGGTATTAATTAGTCATATTTCCTACACTAACAGGTGTTATAAAAATGTAATAACTGAATTTTTCTGAATCACTTGGACAAATTAAAATGAAACCAACTGTCCCAGATGTGTCTTCCTTAGTATTAAATATGACAAGGTCATAAGCGTTCTGACTCAGATCCAGGAATGCTTGTACCTAGCATGTACTTAACTTGGAACATACTTCAGTGCATATCTGGATTAGAGACAATATGTTCAGAAACTTGTGAAATCAAGCTTACTTATGGAAGCAAAGTGATCCAATAAGGCCCAAAACCAAAACTGCATTGAAACAGGTGATTAATTTTAGAAATGTGACTGGCGCCTTTTAAAGGAACAATTCACAAATTGAATGTACAGCTAGGACAGCACGAATCTGTCAACAGCTGATGATACATGAGCATTCTCTTATTTTCCTAGTTGAGCCCAACAATTAAGGTAATTAGAACAAGAGAAGTCATTTAAAATTAACATCAGAAGTTTAGGGGTTACAACACCTAAAACATTAACTTATTATCTTGACCCAGGCAAAGACAATACTGTGTAACGTCTTTCTACAAGTGTCCATTCAAAAAAATTTTTTGAGTGAAAGGAGGCAATGGATTTGCTGTTTCCCATTCATAAACTGGGAGGATGAGAATAATGATAGGAAGAAAACAGGTGGCCATTAGTTACTTAGTTAAGTCAAGTCACTAGTTCTTGTGCATTGCTGGAAGTACATACATCAGTCATAGTTCACCTCTCTACTTATCCATATCCTAAAGGACACATCTTCCCAGCAACTTGAAACCTCCATGTCTAGCAACTAGCTTGTAATTGGATTTTGGTCTGTTTGGGGCAATACTTACCATTTAGAAAGTATTTTTTCCTCAGTGGTATTTGCTGGGATGGACATAGGAACTCAGGGATTCAGTCAGGTAAATCAGAGATGAGGTTCAGGTTTTCCTATCTTATAGGCATCATGTATTATGTAAACTGGTAAAAGTATGAGATGCATTGAATAACAGCATTGGAAAGAACACTGAATAAGATGTCCTCAAAGATACACAAAGGACTTGCTGGTACCACTAAGACAGGACACAAAAATTTGCTCATTTCCACTATCATGTATCATGGGATAATGTGCAACTGCCAAACAACATGCAGGTAAGAAAGGGACTGACTGCAGCCTTTAACCAGCAAGAATAAAATTAGACTTTCTTTCTTTCCTTATGACAATTACTGCAAAGCTGCATTCTAATTAACCACATTCTTTGAAACAGCCTTTTTCATAAGGCTCTTCCTACAACATCCTGTAGAATCAGGTTTTCTTTCAACATGGGGCTGACTTCATGCTATTGTGGCTCACCATGAAAATGTTTCTCAGAAGCCAAACCAGAAAAACACTAAGAATGACAGCTCTTAAATGAATATTCCTCCAAAATACTAAACTGGAAAAGGAAACATTTCAGGCAGGACTAAAGAGCTTAAAAATAGACATTTGCTAGTATTTGAGACTGCTAATGTACCCAAAGGATCTGCACAGTTCTCACAGATATAACACAGGACTGGCAGGAGACTTGCAGTAATCTGAAGCAGATGGAAGCCTGGTGATATACCCCTCAACACCTAAAAATTACCCTTAAAACCCATGTTTGGGCAGTTGAATCTTCTTTTAGACATACAGTTCCCTTCCCTGTTCAGCAAGACAAAGTTTTACAAAAATCTACAAGTGTGTGGAGCAGCGTGGTTAACCAAAAAGTTTTATAAAAAACAGTTGAATTTGTTTGGAAGAACAGTGATCACAACCTTCATTTTATCAACCCATATAACGGGACCAACTCCTGAAACAAAACTTCTAGGACACAGAGATACAGCTTCCTCTACTAACACACAGTTCATACCTCATTCGTGCTTATGACAGGTTTTCACATTATTTTGTGAAGGCAGGCAAATTTTAATGCTACTTCAAAATGGAACAGCTTTTCAAGTCACAAAGGATAAATAAAATCCTGTCTATTTCTTACATCACCTTTCAGGTATTGAAATCATTCCACAAACTACACAGTGAAACTACAGAGTGAAACGTGGCAGCTATTTAACAGAATACATTAGTATTTATCACAGTCCAGTGGAAAATTGCAGCAAAAAATTTAAATTCCATAACAGAGATAACTGCAGAAGTTTTGAATTAGTTAACATTTCTATTTAATGCCAAATGTTTCTGACAGTAAAATAATGTTATTTTAGTATTAAAACATTTTTTTTTTCTATATTTAATTCTAGTTAGGAAAATGCTTTAGTCTGCATAACTCCACTTTTGGTGGGAAGAGATACAGACATAGTCATGCGTTCAGTGCTCAGAGGTTATCCTGACTGCAGATACCTTTCTAAATCAAAATGTCTGTGTTTTGCAAGAAGAGATTTTTAGCTTAATAATTAAATACTGTTATCTCAGGCTAAAAGCATGGACATTTAGTTGAAGAAATCTCACTTATCCCATTGTACTCAAAATATTTTGTAGTGACCCTGACATCACATTGCATATTTAGAGCATAACAATTCATATCCAGAGCCCTGTGGAGAAAATCATCTTGTATAAACCTTCACCTTAGATTGCAGAAGGCATCTTTGAAAAGAACCAATAAATATTAAGTACCAAAGTTAATACTGATTGTGCTGTAAACATACAACAGTATTTTCTAGTAGTTAAATCATATATTTTTAACAAAGTTTAAAAGCTGATTCACCAAAAAACCAAAATTACCCAAAATACAGATAACCTACCTTTACCTAAGCCTTTCTCCAAAAGCTACCGATAGTGAATGCGTTCAGAGACCTCAGTCATGTCACAGGCTTCAGACACATTTGAGAAATATTTTGGATACTCAAAGATTAAATATTTGCAAGATAATATTATAAATTAAAGACCAGAACTATTAGTCCTTGAAGGAGAACTAGATGAGCCAATCTATGAGTTCCCCAAGGGCAATACTTCTAAGGGAGGAGTTAAAATAACCTAGATAAACCAGATCTGGTTGTGGCTTGCAGTCACCTGTAAATTACTGTTATCAACTTATTGCCAGTAGTAACAACAACAACGTTAACTAGCTCAACTTTCATTCTAATAGCAAGTAATATCTCATGGTCTTTCATCTGAATAGGAGGCCCATTTTAAAAGTGTTTTGATCTAAAAATACCCAAAAGCTTCAAAATTACTATCCAAATGCCATTTGTAAACAAAGCCTTCAGTTATCTAAAGGCAGTCTTCAGACTTCTAACTGCTGTAAGTAAAAGCAATTAAGAACACTATTATTTACCTTTTACTGAAATTAAAATACAGTCCTATATTGAAAGCAACTGTGTGTGTTTTGGCTCAGGATGACTTTCAGGTTACTCACAAAACCTTTACCATTTAGACTTAAATCTTGTGGCACAAAATGTGTCACAATGTTGGTACAAGTCCTATTTCTTTACGTAAACTGCGTGATGTGAAGTTTGTAGATAAAAATTAAAAAGTAAATTTGCAATTACCAAACATCATCCACATCAATCTTCAAAAGAAAAAATTTTTAAAAAACCCAAACCACATAAATGTCACCCCTTTTCATTAATTTTTGGTCAAAATCCCTGTTTGCTTACCAGCCAGAGGGTTTCTGAGATATTTCAATAATATCCAGGAAATCAATCTTACATGAAACTGAAGGAAAACATCTAATGTCATTGAACAATAAATATCAGCTCTGTCAGTGGCTTACCTTTGAGCTGAGGCCTTAGGATGTTTCTCTTCTAGTTTCCTCACCAGTGCCACTGTCAGCTGTGTAGTCTCCCCTAGGGGATCTGCAGGCATTAAATGGGCGTCCAAAGGTCCTGAAAGTTGTTTCTGATTGGGATTGCTGACATTTTTTTGCAGAATCTAAGAGCTGAAAGTACAAGCATGTAATATATATATATTGCTAATTAAAATAATGTGTGTCTACTTTTTCAAGTAAGGCTGTTGATTAGCAGAAAATGTCAGAAATACAAATAGCTATGTCAAGATGCATCAAGGAGCATAGATCTAGTGATTTTCCTTCCTTGAGCTTTTCTGCATAGGAAATAAGGAATTTCAAAAATTTGTCCCACATGGGCTATGAGCATCAAGTATTCTGAGACACAAATATTTATAAGTTCTTATTTATTAAAATCCTGTATACAACTATTGTCTAATATATAAATATTTTATTAAATTAAGAAATCAAATGAGGTTATCTATTTAAGGAAATAAGTTGACTTCCACACTGATATTTCTCTTTTCAAAACGTGTTTTTGAAAGGACTGTCTCTGACCTGCCTCTGGCTTAATACTGTGACCTCTTCTGCTGAGCTGCTGTCTATCTCCTGATGAGCTACAGACCAGGCCCCATGGTGAATGCGGTTTTCTGTCTGGGTCATCTCCTCTCTTTCATTTAGTTCCTCTAGGTAGGTCAGGACAAACTCAGGGTAAGCCTGTAGGAAAGGACAAAGGCGAGGAATAATGAAGAAAAACATCAGCTAAATCAGCAGAATCACAACAGCCTAAACACCAGGAACAATGGGAAAAGTGGCTGTTGATGTTCCCAATGTCACAAAAGTTGTTGCATGTAAATAACTTTGTATTTCATAGTTTTCAGTGTTAGACAGTAAGCTTTTTTATGCACTAAAGTGAAAAACAAACTGATATACAATATATTTTCTAAGAATAAAGACAAACAGCTCTCAAGATGAAAATTCTTATAAATAGGAAGAAACAAAATTTTGTATCCCTGTCTTTAGGTAGTATTTAAATATAGGTGACATTTAGGTAGGCATTTCCATGTAAGATATTAAAAGGTTTTAAAACAGCATATTCTAAAATCAAGATACATCGCATACAGAAAAAGTCTTCCTGATAGTTTTGTATCCAAATAAAATGTTACTGCTTTAATTCGTTAATGAAGTCAATTTGCTTCTTGATACTCTTTTGATCTTTGATTACATGGGAAAATGTCCAAAATTAAAAAAAAAAAAAAAAAGTAGTAATCACAATTTAACGATTATATTCTGTGGAATTTGAAACATTAACTTCTCAACTACTTAACCTTATAACACCCAGACCTTGTACCATGGTAAAATAATCAATTTCTTTAGTTCTGTCTGTGAAATGACTGCATGGCAGTTCTTAGTACTCAAATCAAGCAGTAATCAGTCTGCTGTCCTCATGATGAAAAGGGCAGAATCTTCCTTTATATTAAATATTATTTATAATGAAAAATTGTAGTTTGAAGATATGTGAACACCTGTACTATTTTTCATAGAAAATGTATAGATATTAACTACACTAAACTGGACCAAAAATAGGAGCTATTAAAATACTTTGACAAATCCGTTTGACACATAGATCAATAATCTATTAAACCCTTATTGTTACAAAATGAAGTGTCTCACAATTACACGAGCCATTTTTTTCTGTTCCATCACTCGTTAGTAAATAAATGTAAGTAATTTCATTTATTAAGCAGTAATACTACAGTATTTAAACACTTGGGCATATTTTCCAAAGCCAGTTCTGTAATGGACATCCCACAGATTCAAGTGAAACTTCTAAGCTCAAGGAGAAAAGCAGAATACAAAACCCGAAACCTATCCTCAAGTTTGGAGAAGATTTTTTGCTCATACCTTAAGAATACTTTAAAATATTATTTTGTTTTGATCTTGTACTTTACTAGACATTCCTAACAACAAAGCTCTGGTTTTAGCTTCAGTTGCATCACTGTTTCTTTAGCCTTCTGTCAGACTTTTCCTATGAGTGAAGATATTTACAATTTAAGACCACTTATGTTTCCTTTAAAATAAATCCCTGCAACAGCAAGTGTACAACACACAGTAGGGTGCTTTTATTTCTTAAGCAAAAAAAATTCTTCACCAATCAATACCATTAACTCTCCTGCTGTTTACCACCTTGTATAGACAATACATTATGAAACTTTCCCTCCTGCTTCATAGTTCTTTATTTTAATTCTAATGTAATAACTAACTTAGATGCCGGATATATTTCTAAGACTTGACTGCATGAATAATGAGCTAAGATGAAATTTCTGTAAATCATAATTTCTTCCTCTACAAGCACTTCACGCCCATTTTACTTAGCAATGCTGCTATGTAAACTGAGTCTGGCTTCTTTCTCTCTCACTTTTCACCTTTTCTGCCTGACCCCATGCCATTGCTGCTTCCGTGCCAGAAGAAAGCATTTGGCAGCCACGTAATGAATACAAGCAGAGAACTGACTTAAGTTAAAATTAACACTGTAAAATTATAGTTATTACCCATATTTGTACTCAAATCTGGTTCACTGTGTGGCACGCTTGTGCCAGAATTCCAGGCTGCGTGGAAGCTGGTGTTGGCATCCCCATGTCTGCTTAATTCAGCTCAAGGGCTATAAGAGCATTTCCTTTATGCTGAACAACTTTGGTAGGTATTCCAGAGAACCTCTCTTCTTCATGAACGTGAAGAAACAAAATAAACTCCCAGAGCAGAATGCAACAAAAGCCTCAAATCTTCCCAGGACAAGAATAATTATTTCCCAACTTGTTCAACTATTAAGCAACTACAATACTTTGAAAGTTTTATTTCTAGTCCAAAATGTGTTTTACCATGTCTAGGATACATTTTGCTTTCTGTGCACACCACCTCTGCTGAAATCTATTGTAAAATACATGTTCAAAACTCAGACCATGTTAAAGAATACTATTAGCTTGATTACTTTCTAGAATTGATAATTGACTTACACTTTTATTTAATTACTTTTTAAAATTTACTTATACTTTTTATTGCCTTACACTTTTAATTCGTCATCCATAATGTTTACATGAATAAGAGTACATAACTTGACCTATCACAAATATAGACATAATATTAGTCTATAACTAAATATTAAGGGAAAAAAAACATCAACACTAATTTGTTGTTTCTGCATAAGAATAGTTTGGCAATCAGGAAAGCAATATCAGGATTCAATTATGAATCAATATCTTAGTAAAATCATCAATTATGTCCTGTTTTTTCAGAGCAAGCTAGTATTCTCTCACATAAGTACACCACACCTTGATTGTATACATGAAGAATATGTTAATGGCACAGAAATTGAGTTTCTTTCTCAATCTGAATGTTAAAGCAAAGCAGTATAATACAGTTTATGTCAGTTTTTGTTGGCCTACAGATGCTGCACCTTAAAATAACATGACAATACAGATAAAGTAAATGTGATAGGAAATATATAGAGAAATAATACTTTCCAAAGAGATATACTACTGGTATTTTTCCTGATAAAAAGTACAGGCTAGAGCTGAACACTGTTATAGTTATTAACTCTCAAACTTTAGAAACCTCTCTCCTCATGATATACAAACTAAAATTATGCTTAGCATAATGAAATAATGGTACAGCTGACAACTATATTTTTACTTAATGATGACCTGAACTGTTCCAGCATAATTCCAGATAACAGACAAAACAATGGGAACACGGTCTCCATTTCAGCAGACTGTTGTAGCTGTGCAAGTCATAGAATCTAATCTAAAGTCCAGATGAAAGGATGAAAAAGGAGCATTGGTGCTAGAGGCGCACGTCTAGTGTTGACTTCCTGCTGGACAATGGCTCTGAAATTTTCCCAAGGTTAACAGTATTCAGTGCTCCAGATGTTCCTGAGTCTTCAGTAAACATCTTCAAAAGTGTTCAAATACTCAGAAGAAGGTACAAATTAAAGAACATTCAGAGGCGCAAATCACTGGATATAACCCAATGGGGTATGTTAATGCAAACCACCTCTTAATTATTTGAGGAAGTCAAGGCTGCTGGGGATCAAACCACACTTCTGCAAGTGCTTCACCACCCTTCCATCGCTGCCATGGATTCCTGATAGTACCTGGTATGAACCAGCTGACCTACAAAGCAGACTTCACACAAGCTGCTGACCGAGATCTCTGGCCATAACAAACAGAAATAGAACAGCTCCTCCATCAACACTGCGCACTGAAGACATCGCCCTCACATCATCCAGATTTTTGTTGTTATTCAAACACTTGATCTGTCCAAACTTACTAGAAAGAAACCTCTCAGTAACATATTTCTCCAGGAAAATATGTTTTGTTTTAGTCAACAATCTATTTTAAAAGGGATGTTTTCTTTAGCTGTGTAAGAGTAAGCACAGCCAGACAGTAATTCAATATTATTTTGAAAAAAAAATTCTGTTGCAATTACTTTTTCTACTTCACTGGCAGGAGTGGTGTTTCTAAATTTGGCGTTTCTTCTTAGACCCGAAAAAAAACTTTGTTATTTACTGCTAGTTTTTAGGACATTGGCTTTGACAGAAGATATTAAGACTTATTGAGATTCATCCACAACAACATTAAGGACTGCATTGTAAAATTTTCCCCACAGCACATTAATTTTGCACAAAGGTGTTGCTGATTTGCAATAAAACCTGTATGGCTCTAACTTTAATCAAAGAACATTTCACTATTTACTAAAGGTTTTGCTGTGTTTGTTCTATAAACCGATTAGAGTTAAGATCTATTTTTGCTACATAAGTGAATTAAAATACATGTGCACTACAATTCAAGAAAAAAAAAACTTAAAAATGAAATAAAATCAAAATTCACAACTAAAATCATGAACCAGTTCCATTAATTTTAAAAAGGTTTTAATAAAATACAATATACAAATACAAAATACAATATACATAATACAATATACATATACATAATACATAATACAATATAAAAAATACAAAAATAACATGAACAAGAAATAATGTAGTGATATCAGAGCATCAAAATAGCGAACATCATTCATTGAAGTGTTCAGATGGAAAAAGGGAGTACACTTTTGTTTAACACAAGGTGGTAAACAAAAACCCCCATAAATCCAGCATTCAGCAAATGCAGATATAATGCAGTGCTTTACAGTAGCTGGAGTCATTATTTCCTAAACCCACTGCTTTTGTCTCTAAAAAAAAATGAGTAATTCAAAGAGTTATATCTCATTTTACCAAAACACAGAAATAAATTAGCAGAGAAAGTGGCATTTACACTTCAAATAGCACGATTTCGCAAGGAAAAAACACTTCATTTCTGAAACTAACACCATGAATAAGAATCTAATGCAGTAAATAAGGATGTGGAAAAGAAATAACAAGTCCTCTGCAGCTTATTCTATTGGATAAAAAGAATGGGAAATGAGCCATGCATTAGTGAAAGGGAATTAATTAATTGTTATAATAATGCAAACCAGCTCAGAAAAGCTACCTCAATCTGAACAGTCTTCCATCTCTATATGATACTTATGATACTGAAGACACTGGATTTTTAAGTCGGGTCCCAAATTATTACATTTCCCATTAATGTTTAACAGCATTTGAACTCAAAATACATTCATTAAAAAAGAGAGAATAGATTTATATAAATACTTTTTTTTTTTTTTCCTGTGTAGAA